ATAGAAAACATCTCAGGTGGGATCTGCTTGTCATGACAGCAACGTTGGAAACCATCAGGGCCATCAAGGTTATATTTTTTCTCATCAGAGAATAAAACTTTCTTCCACCTTTCAGTGTCCCATGTTTGGTGCTCTCATGCAAAGAGAACAGAACAGTCAGCTCTGTGGCGTTCAAGGAGACGAGGCCTTTGAAGACGTTCTTTGATTTTGAAGTCCTTTAGTCTCAGATGCCGTCTGATGGTTATGGGGCTGCAGTCGGCACCAGTAATGGCCTTAATTTGGGTCAAGGATTATCCAGAGTCTTAATGGATACCCAATTGGATCCTCCAACTCAGTGCTGGTGAAATTATTTGGGGTCTTCCACTTGACTTTTTTGTTCCATAACCCTCAGGATCATTTAAGAAATTCCAAATGACTGTCTTACTGTGTCCCACCTCAGCAGCGATGCCGTGCTGAGAGAAACCCTGCTTATGCAGTTCAACAACCCGACCATGTTCAAAAAGGGAACTTTTTTTTGCTTTTGCCATCAGAATGTCATGACAGTGTGACTACCTGACAGAAAATAACAATAAATCCACATATCTGCACAGTTTTGGCCTGTTAAACACATGTGATCTTAAACTTTTGATTAATAAAAAATAATAAAATAAAAATCAATGACTGAGCATGAATATCTCAGAAACTAAAGATAAAAGCCTAAAATTTTCACTGGTCATTCTTACCATAGAGCAGAATCGAATCAGTATCTGTAATTTGGGGCATACTTAAAAAAGCTTACAATTTCACAGCAATCATTATGTATATCTAAACTTTGGACCATAAAATTTTTACAGAACGGACAGAAATATCAGAGAAAGCACAAGACTAATGTCAAGGATCAGCTGCAGTCAAAATAAAAACCTACAGTGAGCCATAACCAACCACATCTTGTATTTACCTATTTGCCTCCCTGTTCCTCACCCATGCTTTACAGTCTTCACTTCCCTCACCCCCTTTAACCCAGACACCCCCTGTGTAGCCTCGCCCCAAATCCTTTCTCTTTTCTAAATCTCCTTCCTACACAACCCAGACCCTTTCAATGCTGCCAATAATCAAACCAGCTCTCCTATAATAACCTTCAAATGTTTTTATATAATGCTCCAAAAACAGCAAATGTGCCATTTTCATGACATATTACTTATCATTATCCATAGATAGAGAGAATGCTTCCATGTGTCCACTGTGTTTTGTTTAAGCCTTCATATAAAAGTGATTTTATGCGTGAGCCAGAGTGTACATGGTATATCCACAGAATTAGTGTGTCAATCCCTAAGTTAAGCCTCGGCACTGCAGGGGTTCACTCTTTATTTAGGTCATCAGATGGTTAAAAAGTCAAACCCCTCCAGATTGGTGCAAACTGAAAAAAAGACTGATTGCAGCTCCAACAACTGGTCTGTGTTGTTTGTATGATTATCTTCTGCATCTGTATTAAAATGATCAGTAGTTGAGCACCAATAACCAGGACATATGCCTGTATGTGGAAAAAGGAGCTAGTTTTCAAGCCAAACTTCGTCTACATGGAACTTTACAATCATATTCTAAATACATGAACAGAAGCATCAATATATTACATTGTTCATGACAGAGTGAGAGATGGGGTACATCCTGCACAAGGTGTCAGTTTATGACAAGACTACCATAGAGATATGTTGTTTTTACAGATTCTATTTCTGAATAGAGTCTATTATTGAATTATTCCATGTATAAGGAGCATTGTAAGTGAGTGAAGTGTGGTGGTTTTTAAAAGCATTGCATGTATTTATTTTGATAATGAATCAGTTGATATTATTATTATTATTGTCTTGCATCCCCCCCCCCCCCCCCCCCCAATAAAATTATGAATTATCTTGCATAAATAGGCTGTTGATTTTCTTTACTCATTTCAGTTATTACCAGCAAAATACTTGCATGTTTAATCATCTGGGAATCAACCCAAAATTACTCATTTAATTAGACAGAGATCTTTGTCAGTGCTGTGTTGGTGTATTGCAATCAGAAGCTGCCTTTTATCTGCTAACATCAAGTAGCTACGTTAGAGAGCTGTATACCATAAACTGTGTGGACACGAGGCAGAGACGCACAGACTTATGTTGCTGGAGCACTGGGTCACTGTGCTCACACCCCTGGATGATGCATGGTACATGGACTGGTATTTATATAGCAGTTTTCTACTCCAACTGAGCGCTCAAAGTGCTTTTTACTTCAAGTGACTGTGAGCAACTGTGGCTCAATATGTACAGCTTATTGTGTAGAGGTGGAGGAAATATAAAGAAAATCACCTTAAAACTGAACTAATATGAAAGATGAAACTTTTCGAGTGTACCCGGCTACAAATATGCTTTTCAAAGAGTATTGTATCATGGCAGCCTATGATCGCAGACCAACCCTTGGAGCCAGCCTCAAGTGGCACCTGGAGAAACTGAAGTTTTTGCCGCATTGGCACTGGCTTCATATTTCAGCTGCAAAGATTGGTTGTCATTGATGGCGACTTAGACCTCAAAGGAGGACCTTCAATTTAGAGTAACTAGATAACAGTACTTGTCATTAAACTGCAGGAACTCCAACTGAATAGTTACTTAACAAATTCATTAAATAAAAGCTTTTATGATATTTGAATTCTGATGATGTGTAAGAGAAGGGCTCGTTGCACAGTGGCAGGAAGAGCAACTTTAAATGTCTTGTCATGTCTTTTACTTTTTAATGAGAGGATTTTAGGAATGGGACAAAATGAATAAAACTGTGCAAAAAGAAGTGAGATGGAAGAATGATACAGCAGAAAGGAAAGAGAGAGACTTCAGCGGATAGATGGTGTGACAGATTGAGTTTCGGTAAGGCAGGACCAGAGATGCTGATGATAGAAAGAGAGGAGGGGGGATGATGCACATAGACAGGGACATTACATAACACTTCATCAGAGCAGAAGAGGAAAAGGGAGGGTAATAGGAGGAGAGGCTGTGAATGAGAAGAAACCACTCCTCTTTTCTGCAAGAACCTTGAGGCCATGCCCCCTGGTTTGACCCATCAGGAGTAACTACAGTCGAGAAAGGAAAACAGAAATGGATGAGTTCAGAACAGGTTTAAAGCTAGAACTTTTTACTTTTTCAAGGATGCCCTCCTGATAATCACTCAAAATTTTATTTGAACAAATAAAATTTGTTTTTTTGTTTTATTAATACAAGAACAGATCAAACTGGCACATGTATTATTGATACGATACTAATCAGTATTTTATGTGTAATGATGTTATTTTTGAATCAACAATGAATAATGAAAGAACTGCTATTATAAACGTTTCTCTCAGCTCTTTTGGGGATAAAAAAAATGTGTGTCTCCAAATGGATAAAAAAGTTCTTTGCAACCCACCTCTACCCCCAACATCACTTGCCATACTGTTTCTGACTTAATCAGTGTAACATATCTGTTGTCACTGATACCTGCTCTGTTTTGTGCTGGGTCTTGCTATAGCTCTCTGGCTTTCAACATGTGAATCTGGAGCTATGCCACCAAACAAAAATTACTGGCAATTCTGGAACTGACTGAAGCAAGAATATGCCGATTACAGCAGCTACTTTTATTAATGAACATATCAAGTTCTTCATTTCATTTATTTTATTTCATCATTTCATAACAATAGATGAGATTATGAAGTAAGTAATAGATAGTGATTGGTGTCAGATGAATGGTGCCGCCAACTGTGATGAATATATTCATAAGAACAGTCAACAATAGGCGCTAACAAATCCTGGCTTAGGGGATCAGTTAGGTACATGTTGTTATCAATCATATACAAAGATTGGACATGATTATTAGTGTCTGAATTGAGTTAGACTGGTGGAAATACACAATTACTTTCTGCAAGGAGAGTTCTATAGGAACTTTGTTACTTTGATACTTTGCTTGTTGACCATTTTTGTGCTTGTGTATTGTAAACAATATGTGTTATTTGGAGATTACAAACAAACTGCACTGAATCAAATGGAAGGCATAATCCTAGATAATCCTATAGAAACCTCTGTGTCCCCCAGCAGCCACTCAGTCCTCTGGTTCGCTAGCAGCTCACACAATCATCTTAACAAATGTGAAAATATTAAAAGTTAAAGGACACAAGGCAGGCAAAGCTGATGGAAACTGCAGATCAAAAAGATAATTTCAAACATTTTATCACAGAATATCCCATGTACCTGGGTAACCTGAGTCTAGAATGTCCACTAGGAACCAACACTAGCTACAAAGTGAACTAGCCCTCTTTGTTAATGGGGTTGTCTGAGAAATAATATGACTTACTGCATGGTTCAGCCCATGCAGAAGGTTTGTGGTTCAGTTTTAATGAGTGAATATTAAATATTTTTATTCTTCATTATGGTCACTTATAGCACTAATATTAGACTTTAAATTGAGAATTTCAGAAACCAAATGTCCATTTTTTATATACAGTCTCTGGTTGCTGTGTATGTCTCTTAATGTCAAGGATAATTACATTTATAACACAAGATTTAGTTGTATGAAATTATAATTCATTTTCATATTTGGGATTGAAAAATACATCTTGTTGAAGAAAAAAAATGCATATTGAGCAAGTAGCTTACTTAAGAGACTTCTTTCATCACGTTAGAAATTACAGGACAAAAATATTCTCCCAGAACAACTTTTTATCGTCCCTTTCCCAGAAGGAGAGAAGCAAAATGCCCTCACACATAAAACAGCAACCAGAGCCCCTCAATGTGGAGACCAACGGTTGCATATTTTTCTCTAATTTGTCACCCACTGTACGTGTTTTCATATTAACACGCTCCCCCTGAGATGTACGATTAAATCTCTAAATAATCAAGCCAAAACAAATAGCGCTGTCACCGGCGGTCCGTAAAGGCGGCAGCTTCCCCTCCCGCATGCAGACTCTGAAGACTCCTCGCTTGACGCTCCAGGCTCCTGATTGGTCGAGCTGTTCGGGGGAAGGGGCGTGGCTTGCGTCTCAGTCCTGGCACCAGTTTGCTCTGCAAGCACCGAAAGGTGGAGAGATTTTCCCCATCACACACTCTTACTGTCAAACACACACGTTCAGCGAGAGACTCGGGACGCATCCACACGGTGAGTTTCACTGTTTTAACGTGATTCGGGACGTGTCATCGCGTTTTCTCTGCATCCTGGCGATGCGCCAGCCTCGCGTGGGCCTTTATAAATGAAATGTAATTGGTGCCATATTTATATTCAGGTCTGCAGGCTGCAGTGGCACGGATGCAGGCCTATATTTAGCTTATGATATGGCGGAATCATAGTCGGAGACATCGCTGTGCGCGGTGTTTCCCATCCCAATGGGGAGAGGATGGTGGGCGTGTGAGGAGGAGAAAGAGTCGGGGTGGCGGGGGGTGAGGGGGGTTCAGTGTCTCATGCAGAGGTCCGTGGATTCTTGTCTCTTTGTTATGGTGGTGCCGCAGAGTCGGGATGATACACCCCTCCTGCTGAAAAATCACTACAAAACAGATTCCTCCGATAGTCCTGCTTTGGCTCCTCATTAGTAAGCCAAGAGTAATTGTAGTGGTCTCAGTGCATTTAGCCAGCACCTCTGTCATTACAATATTCCTACATGGGACCGTAGTAGGTTTTACATGATGTTTATCTCTATAGTGAAACAGATGCATCTCCAGTACAGCGAAGGCCTTGTTATATAAAGAATAGAAGAGTATCTGATTTTTATACATAGTACCCCCCCAGTCGAGACACATACACACTTACACGCACAGACACACTCTGCATGCTGTGTGTGTGTGGATTAGAGCGCATTGTTTCGTCTATGCTCATTTTTTCTCCTCTAGGGCTCTTTCTGCCTTTTCTCTATCTCACATGTGAACCGCATTGAGCTACAGGACTGTAGACTGTCTGTGGGAATACTATGGGAAAATGGTTGTCTCCATTCTGCACTCAAAGTAGAAATGGATTGAAGGTTCAAGTAAACGGTGCATATCTGCTCTGTGTGTGATAGCTGGAGCCAAAGAAGCTACATGATGCAATGCTGAGTAAAATCTCTAAAGCCGAAGAACGTGGCTGCCCCGTTACATAAAGTGGGCATCATCTGTAGCCTGGTACACGGTACAGAGCATAGGTCACTTTGACATGCTCAGTGTGTTTGGGGAGACAGACATCTGAAATAATGTACTCTCATTACACCAGTCAGACTCATCTGACACTGTATTTCAAAGTTGTTGTGTGTTTGTTTATAACTGACATTTCATTAAAAACAGATCGCTGTTTCTGTTTGATCAGTTATTTATTTGCTCTATAGATTGTGAAGATGCAGAAAATCGTAATGTTTAAAAAGGGGAAAAGACTTTGCCATTTGATTGATAGTCACCATGGCCACCAACTCATTTCCAGAGGTTTCTCATATCACTTTATTGTCATTTTGTTGCTGATTATAACAACAACAAACTCATACTACAATGTCACTGCTCCGCATTATCATCTTAAAATTATTGTATATAATATCGTTCAGGTATTTTAATATTGTGATATTGTATTTGACTTAAAAGAGGTTGATGGATCTTTCTTTTCTGTGTTCTGAGTTAAAGAGGTAATTAAGCAAAGTCACATTTGCCAGTATTAACATATAATAAATGGACTGGTTCTTAGAGAGCGCTTTTCTACTCTACTTGAGCACTCCAAGTGCCTTATACACCTTATTCACACAAGCACTTTTTTGGTGTCTAAGTGCTTTCTATCTAACACTCTGATCAGTGTATTAGGGACAGGCCACTTGGGTTTCAGTATCTTGACCAAGGACACTTTGGCATGCAGACTGGAGCAGCCAGGCATCAAACTACCAACCTTCCAATTAGATGGCCTGTTCTACCTCCTGAGTCACAGCCACTCTTGTATGTAGTCGTAGTCTAAAAATGTAATCCCCGAGATCTAAATAGCCCTAAAGCTGACCCTTAACTACAGCATGTGATTTCTTATTACTAAGACTTGGAAGAATGATTATCAAAATTGTTCTTGGCAATCAGGAGAACCCCCCAAATATTCTAACTGACATACTTTAGGATTAAGTTTATGACAATGAGCAAAGACTGTCATTTAATCTGAAATGACTTAAAATGTCCAACTCACTGAATTGTGAGAACAGGCCGAGTACAATATTTATATCCAAAACGACCAAAACTTCCAGTGGCTTATTAGTTAAACTGTTCTCATTCCAATGGTGTCATGTTTGGCTGTTTTGTCAAAGCCCCTGGTGTCTCACAGCCCCTGGTGTCTCACACATAGGCGTAAGATATCCTTTGATGATGGTATTATTGGATGCCAAAGGCAAATGCTAAAAACAGGACCAGGAGACTGCAGTTTTTATCTCTTCTCACTTCTTAGCTTTAGGCACCAACACTGCTTACTTAGGTTTAGAAAAAGAACTCTATTTGGGCTAAAACAAACCCATTCAAAGTGTTAACTATGCATGCTAAAAAATAAATGATGCTAAAAGGATAGCCAGTCACCTCAAATTTGACAGTAAGGCTACGTTCACACTGCAGGCGAAAGCACATCCAATCCGACTTTTTTGACCCTATGCGACCCATATCCGATCATGGTATGACAGTGTGAACGGCGCAAATCCGATATTTTCAAATCCGATCTGGGTCACTTTCGTATGTGGTGCTGAATCCGATACATATCTGATGTTTTAGAAAGCGACTGCTGTTTGAACGGTCATGTCGCATTAAATCCGCCTTTTACGTCACCGACACAAAACTGAAGCCAATTATCAGCGCCAGAGAAGACATCGCGAACGCTTCCTGGCCATCCAGTGTAGATGTCAGTGAAACATACTATTGTACATACTATTGTTTGAGTACTTACGATTGTTTTTTTTGTACTTTTTATATTTTACATTTATATTTATTATTGAAACTTGCACCAAGGGAGTGGCACTCCAATTTCGTTGTACTCTGTACAATGACAATAAAGGCTATTCTATTCTATTCTATTCTAAACTGTTGGGAAGACAACGTAAACATTTTATTTGTACTGTATAATCTGCAGATTCTGACAGAAATCTGCAGCTATCCTTGGAAGCACCGCTCCTCTCTTAAACAGCAATAAGGATCATTATTAGGTTATTTACATTATTATGTAAATAACAAAATAACTTAAAGCAAAAATTGGGAAACGTAAAGTCCGAAGTCTTTATATTAACGGCCATCAGTCAAACAATACTGTTTGCTCTGGGTCTAAACAGAGCGCGTTGTGTGTGACATCTTCTTTTGCGCATGCGGGCCGCTTTGAGCGTTCACACTAGAGCGCGTTTGCTGTCGCATTTTATTTGTAGTGTGAACGAGCAGACAAAAAAATCGGATTTGATCAAAAAATCGGAATTGAGCATTAAGACCTGCAGTGTGAACGTAGCCTAAGAGACCTGAAGAGTGTATATGTGATGAGTTCAGATTAAAACTGAGCTCAGATATTCTAAATCTTTGCAAACAGGAAGTAATTTTGTAGGTGAGAGTGCAGAGAACTACACAGTCCAAGTAACCGCAGAGTAGCAAATCAGGAGAACATCCAGATTCCAGACCAGGTGCATGAAAATTCCAGATCATGAATATATAAATGAAAAAGGCATGTCAGTTCAACTCCTTTGACTCCTTGAATGTTTGAATCACAGAGATACTAAATGTAAAAAACGTAAGGCCATTTTTTGCCTGAGACTGCTGGCACAGAAGCTAGATGGATTATCAGAGATGTTTTAATGCATGAGCGTTGTAATGATGATAATGCCATAATTTCTGCCTCAGGGATTGGTGGGATTACATCCAATCCCTCTCAAAGGGATCAACCAAGTAGCCCGGAAGTCAGCAGGCACCCAGCTAGGTATAGTTAACATTTTTGCATCATTTGTAAGGCAATAGGCTTTTCTAGGCTTCTCCACTAAACCAAGCAAACAATATCATTGTAGAGCTTGTCAAACCTTGACTACATATATAAGTCGTTTTACAGTGTAGCATTGACAGTAATAATCAGTTGTTAGCTGGAAATGTGTAAGCTCTGTTGTCATTCAGTAAGTCAACAAGTCAGCCAGGCAGAGCTAGTACTGTAGAGATACGATCTAATCATGTTGTAGTTTCTCCAGGCGATATCATAGGCCTGGCTTGTAAAATAAGATAAGATGACCTTTATTAGTCCCACAGGTGGGAAATTTGTTAAAATGTAAGAATTATGTAAAAAATGTAAGATTATGTAACAAAACATGGAGTTATCTCATAATGTTTGTGCCCAGCATGAAACCAGGCGATATGAAGAGTGATAGCATTCTGTAGCCATTAGGTTTTTCTGGAACTTTAAAGAAAATCTATGGACTACAAGATGAACTTCATTTGTTATCCAAAACTATGATGTTTCCTATTTTTTTCTGTTAAGTAAAGAGGAATGGAACAGTGGAAAAGATGACTAGATTACCAACAGTTAGTGGTCTACAAAAAAAGTAGTAACGGTTGTAAATAATATTGCTAATTATTAAAGTCCTACGGTCAGGAGGAGTCCTAGGTAAGGAGCTTCTGGAGTTAAGGAGTTTTCCTTTAACTCTGGGCTTCCGTACACCTCTATGGAAATTTTACCCTATTGTAGCAATTTGTTTAGCTTTTCAGTTCAATTCAATTAAGTTTAATTTATGTAGTACCAAATCACAACAACAGTCATATCAAGTTGCTTTATATTTTAAGATAAGGACCCTACAATTTATAAAGAACAATCCCAATGATCAGACTGTGAGCAAGTACTTGGCGACAGCAGGAAGGTGAAACTCCCTTTCAACAGGAAGAAACCTTCGGCAGAACCAGGCTCAGGGAGGAGCAGCCGTCTGCCACAACTGGATGGGGGTGAGGGGAGGAAAACAGGACGAAAGACGTACCATAGAAGAGAGCCAGAGTTTAATAAGAGCTAATGATTAAATGCACAATGTGTAGTCCTTTCCAACTGATTGCTGTTCTATCTCTAAACACCCATGTTTCAAGGTGCACAAGGGATGTGTATTCACCAAAAACGTTTGGGTAACACAAACACCAACCAGCAGTCAAAATAAGCAACTAGCTGTTGAAAATAGTGTGAAT